AAAATAATTATCTTATTCAGACAAGCAAGAATGTCAATAGTTCTACTTATAATGTATTTAATAGGGTAAACTCTTAAATATCTACCTTTGGATCTAATCTTCTCACTGTTTTAAACAAGGAACCTAGAAGTTAATAAGCAGTTGGCAGATAGTGAGGACCTACCTGGGTGGGCTTCAGTGGCCCAGAAAGAGTGCATAGAGACATCTAAATGGTCTAACTTATTTTATGCCTTTTTGTAGTGTAGAAGTCTGCCTTCCAGTTTCATGTAACCACAGAACAAAAATAGACAAACATTCTTTTAGTAAACTTTCTGGAAACAAAATTCTTCCCAGATATTTACTGATAGGAAAATTTAATCTAAAAATTCCTCTGCCCGGCCCCTTGGCAGCATCCCAGTCTTCCATCTGCTCTGTGCAGTTGGATTCCCTTCGCTCTGGACTCCCAGGTTACTCTCTCAAACATTAAAGGCTGCCTAGTACAAACCAAAACAACAATTTACAAGAACCAGGTGGAAAGTATTAAGGCATTCTGTGTTTTTATCCTCATTCTTCTATTGGAAATATGCACTGCAAAAATTTGTAAAATAACAATATTAATAAAATAATAAGGAACCAAAACACTTCCCATCTTTTTTTTCACTAATGTAGATTAGCTATGTTATTTTTAAAAACTGACATTTACTTTAAATGAAAGTAGAATATCATTTGTGCAAAGAATTACTAGAGAAAACAAAGGCTTCTAATTGAGCTATGATAACATTTTTGTCCCAAATAAAACCCTAAATCAAGCAAACAACCTACAGCTCTATTGTTTTAATAACTAGTAATCTTATTGTGAATATTTCTGTTGGGATTTGGAAAACTTTTAACCATGCAGCTTTGCCAAAATATGTTCCTATTTGAATATAGAGAAAGTTGCCCTGGATGGTGTGGCTAAGTGGGTTGAGTGCTGGCCTGCAAACTGAAAGGTTGCCAGTCAGGGCAGATGCCTGGGGTGCCATCCAGGCCCCCAACAGGGGGGATGGGAGAGGCAAACTATGAATGTTTCTCTCACACATCTCTATTTCTCTTTCTCCTTCCTTCTCTCTCTAAAAATATAAAATAAAATCTTTTTTAAAAATAGGAACTTGCACTTGTTAAGACTTTAATTGAAAGTTAGTGCTCACCAAAAGTTAATTAGTGCCTATTTCATGTTCTAGAAAGATAAAACATCAGTCTTATGGAGATGTTTTATTTTTATATACAGTATTCCAGAAACCAATGGGATATTCAAAAGAAGAAACAGGAATATCTTTTACTTATGAAAAACAAAATAAAATAAATATAAAATTAAATGTCATATATTGTTTCAAATATGAAATGATGTATCCTTTCAGCTCTAATCATGAATATAGACTTTTCAAGGATGTACCTTCTTCCTCAATTATTTTTAACAGCAAAGTACTCCCAAATAACAGTTAATTCTGAAAATTCTTGCACATGAAAAGAGGTTTCTGGCCACAGGAGATGCTATTTGAAACATCCAGAGGATTAAACTGGCACCAATTACAAAAAGCTACTGTGCCTTAACATTAAACCAAAAATTCACTGTTTCATTGGTACAAGGCTAATTTTACCCAAAATGTGGACAAAAAGACAAGTGATAGATAAGAAAAAAATAAACAAGCTGCCATTAAGTGCCATTAAACTCTCTGGCACAATTTCACACAAGTTGGTTATTGAATAACTTTAATAACAGACTTTTTATCTGTTGCTTTAAACATTTTTGTCCTGTGCATCAGGGAGGGGATAATTGAAGGGGGAGGGGGGAGAAGATGAAAAGATACATTGATGAAGAAAGATTAGGGTGTTAGGAGTTATGCAAGAAATTGTTTATGCAAAGCCCACTATACAGAGAGAATGGATCCTATAGGACACTGCAGTTCTTTCCAAATATCTCAGGCCTTGTCCTTGTTTACAGCAAGCAAGTCTGGAAAAGGCTGTTTAAAAGACATGGTAAGCAACTGCCTGGTTGTTCCATTAACAAGCCCATGGACTTCTCAGTTAAAGTCACCTAAAACTTGTAAAAGCTGTTCAGTTGCTGAAGAATGTCAGAAATCACTAAATTTTACAGTCCTGAGATGGAATCAAGAGGTCCCAAATGTCTGTTTTTGCAGTTATAAATATTCAAACCATCCTGGCCTTTGTGGGGGAAGTGTAGGAGGCTGCAAGGTAGCCAGGACCTGGCAGTTGCTTCTTGAGGGTCACTTAATGTCGTCTACATATCCCTCAAATAAAACCAACATTGTATTGAGAAGAAGCAATTAATCGATGGTAACTGGTTCTTCTAAAAATACTATATGACAAACAAACATCTTTAAGCTTAATTTCAAAAATCCCTGAGCTTTCTGACAAATTGGTATTACAATTCTGAGATCAGTATGCATTTGTAAATACACAGCTGGACCTTGATATTCCCCATTCACATGAAGAACTGTTTCAACAATGCCTTATGCAATGGTTTTCAACCAAAGAAAGGAAGGGAAAGGTGATTTTGGCCCCAGGAGAACATTTGGCAATGTCTGGAAACATTTTTCGTGGTCATGATTATGGAGTGCTATTGCATCAAGTTGGTAGAAGCCTGGGATGCTATTAAACATCCTGCAATGCACACAACAGCCCCCCAACAACAAAAAATGATCTGGTCCAAAACTATCAATTGTGCCAAGGCTGAGAAACACTGTTTAAGCCCAGTGCTTTAAATGTTAGTAGATTGTAATGGTGAAATCAAGAAGTCATTATTATTGTCATTAATAACCAATTTTCACCAAACAATTTGCAAAACCAATCCTGCCTAAAATTGTATGTAAACTATACAGGGAAAAGAAATGACACATTTGTAATTTGAAAAGAAAGAGAAAAATAAATTTCAACCAGAACAGAATGAAGAAACAAGAACTCAAAAAAATAAGGAGAGGCTTAAGATGCCCTGGGGTAACTTTATATGTTCCAACATCCAAATCATACGGGTGCCAGAAGAAGAAGAGGAAGAGCAAGAAATTTAAAACTTATTTGAAAACATAATAAAGGAGAATTTCCCCAATCTGGTGAAGGAACTATGCTTCTAGGAAGTCCTGGAAGCTCAGCGAGACCCAAAGAAGTTGGACCCAAGGAAGCACACACCAAGGCACATCAGAATTACATTACCCAAGGTTAAAAATAAGGAGAGAATATTAAAAGCAGCAAGAGAAAAGGGGACACTTATCTACAAAGGAGTTCCATAACACTGTCAGCTGATTTCTCAAAAGAAACCTTATAGGCAAGAAGGGACTGGAAAGAAGTATTCAAAGTAATGGAAGGCAAGGACCTACATTCAAGATTATTCTATCCAGCAAAGCTATTATTTAGAATGGAAGGGCAGATGAAATGCTGTCCAGACAAGGTCAAGTTAAAGGAGTTCATCATCACCAAACCCTTGTTATATGAAATGTTAAAGGAACTTATCTAAGAAAAAGAAGATAAAAAATATGAACAGTAAAATGACAACAAACTCACAACTGAACCTAAACAACTGAACCTAAAAAAAAAAGAACAAAAACAAAAAATACTAAGCAAACAATTAGAATAGGAACAGAATCATGGAAACAGAGATCACATAGAGGATTATTGGCAGGGAAATGGAGATGGAAAAATGGGAGAAAAGGTACAGGGAGTAAGAAGCATTAATGGTAGATACCAAATAGACAGGAGGAGGTGGAGAATAGTATAGGAAATGTAGAAGCCAAAGAACTTAAATGTATGACCCATGGACTTGAACTAAGGGGAGAGGGAAGATGTGGGTGGGAGGGGTGGTGCAGGGCAGCTCGGAAGAAAGGGGGGTGGGGAATGGGACAACTGTAATAGCATAATCAATAAAATATATTTAAAAGGAAAAATAAAGAAAAAGGAGTGGGTGGATAAGCATCAGATCCAAGTGTAACATACATACAGTGCTTCAACACTGTCATCCATTCACAGCAGTAGCAGTAGGTAAACTTTTTACTTAATTATTAGAAATAATGAGTTTTGGCTCCAAAATGTTTTTCCAATTTAGATGCTGTTCTTTTTAATAATTGTTATTGTTTTTAAAAATAGCCTTCTTCTTTCAGAAGAGGTAATTCTTTAAATTCAGTTCACACAAGGGGATTTGGAAGAAGCGGCAAGTTGAAAATGCAGTGCATTCAGCAACACAGTGTCTTCTTACTGTGTGAGGCTCTGAACAAGCTGCGGGTACTACCTCAAGTCTAGGAGCCATTATTAAGCTTTTGTCAAGTTTCACTTGACACCTTTTCCTCTCCAAGCACACAACTAAGTCCACCAGACCTTAAACACTCTGTGGACTTTCAAACCTCTCCCAGAAACTTTTGAGTGAGTGGTCAGTGTGGTTTTTATGCTAGGGGGCTGTTGATAAGGTTCCAAGAAACCAGGTGCAAATGCGACTGCCAAAAATTTTTTAACGGGGTCAGATTAAAAAAATTAGCCCTTCCCTCCTGGTCTGAAGGCGCAAACTTCCAGGCGCAGGAGGCTCACCTACCCAACTCCACATCCTCACACAGTGGGCCCTGGGATAACTGAATAACTGATTCGCTTGTGCAGTCACGGGCACTTGCGGGGTTGCCTGGAATCAGGTGTGTTACGGCTTCTTAATCTCACAGTGCAACAGCAACAGCGTGGTCTGGGCTGTGCATTGGGGACTATATCAGAGTTTTACATAAATTAATGTATTTAGTTCTCACGCGACGGCTCTGTGACGTAGGTACCATTGCTCCCTTTTTATAAGGAGGCAACTGAGGTTCGAAGTACACATTCGTGAACAATAGAGCCAAAAGGTGAAGACAGACCCTTTGAATCTGTACCCGCGCTCTTAACCATCAAGCCGCCTCCCTCCAGTAAGTCCATCAGCCCTGGAAAACCTGCCAGCTCTCAGGCATCAGAGTTCTAGGCGTCCAGCGATGGGGCCCAGGCCTTCCTGCCCCTCCGTGGGAGGCAGGCGGGTCCTGGTCCCCGAGACCTTCTCGCCTGCTTGTGTAGGTCAGGAGGTGCCTGTTCGGGGCGATTCCCTGCGTTCGGGGCAAGGGGAGCCGGCGAGCGGGCGGAGCTCGTGTCTCTCCGGGGTCGGAAGCCGGAGCCGGTTGCGGGAACGAACCGCGGGAAGCGGCCGCCGCCCTGACCGCGCAGGGCAGGCCCCGCGAGGGGAGGCGGGGCGGGGCCCGCGAGAAGAAAGGGGAGGTGGAGCGGCCCGGAGCCGCGCTGTGCGAGCTGGACTGCAGCCGCCGTGCACCCCGACGCCACGATGGGGCTGGAGACCGAGAAGGCGGACGTCCAGCTCTTCATGGATGACGACTCCTACAGCCGCCAAAGTTGTGTCAACTACGCCGACCCTGAGAAGTTCGCAGACTCCGGCCCAGATCGGGATCCGAACCAGCTCAACTCGAATCTCAAGGTGAAGCCCACGCTGGGCCAAATCCCGGGGCCGAGAGCAGTCCAAACCCCCGCCCGGCCTGGGGATGCGGTGTGCCCGCTCTACCCCTGCCCCAACCCCAATCCCCACCCTCGCTGCTGGGTCAGCCTGGCGGAGTCCGGGAGCCGGAATCTACCAGCAGCGGGTCGCCCGCGAAACTCGGAATTCTTAGCCAAATTCTTGTGGTCCAACCGTGACCCTAAAAGAAAGTGGGGGACCCCAGCCAAATCCTTCCTTCTTGCTTCTCCCACCCTGAGACCCCTGGTGCCCAGGGAGGCAGGTTACGTGCCAGTGAGGATCCCCGAGTCTTGTCTCTACAGGTGGGCTTCGAGGATGTGATCGCAGAGCCGGAGTCTACGCACTCCTTTGACAAAGTGTGGATCTGCAGTCATGCCCTCTTTGAAATCAGCAAATACGTGATTTACAAGTTCCTGACATTGTTCCTGGCAATCCCCCTGGCCTTTGCTGCGGGAATTATCTTTGCCACCCTCAGCTGTCTGCACATCTGGTGAGAAGGGGCACTCGGGGTGGACCAGCTTTCTGAAACATACGAATATTTTTTGACACCTGCCCTCTGCCCCCACCTTCTGCCGGGAGGGCTTACAAGGGGAAGAACTCACATCAGCTCCTGATAAGGTAGCAAGAGTGGGAGGCAAGGCAGTGTGCTTTCTTTACAGTCATAGTTGTGGGGGGTGGGTGGGGAGAGTCATGGGTGGGGTTAGGAGTTTAAACAGAGGAAGAAATATCACTCTGTTCTGGATGTGATTGTCCTTTGAACGCTAAGGCCCAGCAGACTGAAGGTGGAAACCTGGAGGCCATGTTTCTTGCCACAGGCTGCTGCTCTCTCAGGACTGTGTTATGACTTGTGCCTGTGGTTTTGGGCAGGGCTCTTATTTTTTCTTCATCACCTTTTGTTCAGTCACCACCTGTGCTTGGGGTAAAACAAAACTGAGTGATCTCTGAGCAGAATGCCAGTGACAGTATCACCAGAGAGGGGTGTTAGTAAGACCTGGTTAAGCAGTGCTATGGAGGGGCTGCTCCTGTTGTGCCAGGGGCAAATGCAAAGATGAGACCAAATGAATGAAAACTCAGACCTCGGGGTAATGGAATGAGAAGGCCTCCAAATTACTTTTTCACCTATAAGGAACAACTCTAGTTAAGTATAGGAAAATAAATATAGAAACCTACTGAACATTGGTAGGATGTTTTGAGTAACTTTATTCACACTCAAAATACATCATAAAGCTTTGGAGAGTAGTTTTTAAGTATTAAACAAATTTTAAGGAAAATGTCATATTTTACCACAAAGTTTAATGTTGTTTTAAAAGATGTCCACTTTATTCTCAGAAGAAGAACATTGAGACCATCCATAGTACAGCAACAGCCACCAAGCTTGAGCTTTAGGGTGGTCCTGGTGAAATGCAGAACTCCAGATGCCTCCATGTCTTTCCTAATCACATTATACGGTACTGCTACACCCTAACTTACAGTGCGTTCCTTGTTAGAAGTTACAAAACTTTTCTCCATTTCCCTTTTTCATCTAAATCAATTTTAGTCAGTTAGCTAGCTGTCTAGTTCAACCAAGAACATTTATTGAGTGCTTACTTTATGCAGGGCACTGGGCCAGGATGAATAAGATGCAGGATCTGCCTCAGCTTCCTCACAGCCAAGAAGAGCTGGCTGGGTATAGAGATGGATGCTGAGAAAACTCACTTAAATCTGTTGAGGAGGAGGGAGGCACAGAGAAGGCTATGTAAAGGAAAAAAGTCTAAAAAGGATAAATAAAATTTCACCAAATATTTAAAGGATAAACAATGAACATAATTCAGTTTGATCACTAAAGATTGTAAAGAACTAAACTATGATGGAAATGCCAAAAGACTGCCATATTAGCAGACCTACAAAGGCCAGATGTAGAGTTAGTTCATATTCTAACATTAGCACGTGGATTTTTTAAAAAAGATAATCTAAGTCAGCATATAAAATTTTGCATTTCTAGTTAAAACCAGTCATCTAACCTCTGTGTTAGTTTTCTCACTTTCAAAATGTGAAAAACTGAGTGACCTATAGAGCATATTGTGAAATGTTGGCTATAAAGCTATTTGGAAATACAAGGGGGAACCCAAAGAAAGAGCAATTACCTTCTTGAGAATGGACCCCTTGTAATACAGGCTTGTCCAGCACATGAGTGCTCTAGGGACCCATCCGTATCAGTGTGCCAGTTGGTGTTGTTGTGAGAGGTTGCACATGGCTTCAGTGAATTATTTTTGAAGACTCTTTCGATGCAGTTTACCCATTTCATGATGGGTGATTTATGAACACACATGCCCACACTGGGCTGTGTTCAGCAGTTTTTCATTAAAAAATGTCGTGACACCACCCCTGAACCCTACCCTCCCTATTCACCCACTCTCACCCCAGCTAACTTTTTTTGTTTCTCCAGATGAAAAAAGTCCTCAAAGGGAAAAGTTTTGCCTATGTGGAAGTGGTGAAACAAAAAACGGTAGAAGCACTAAAAAGCATCAAAATCAATAAGTTCAGAAACTATTTTGAGGAGTGGGGAAAAACGTCTAGATAGATACATTGTATCAAATGGAGAGTATTTTGAAGGTGACTGAGGTCTAAAATGCAAGATGAAATACACAATGTTTTATAAATAAGTTTCATTTTTGTGTGGCTTCCTCCTTATATAGAGTGCCTTGTTTATAGTCAGCAAAGCTAGATTTTTCTAAAGCACTTGTAGAAGAACTGAAAACAAAAGGTTTTCATTTTCTAAGTGGTGGAAAGATATAAGTAAAACTACAATTAACCAAATGATGCTTCACTCCACCTGGCTGTCCTGAGAATGATAGGTGTTTTTGTGTAATGCTTCCAATGGTGAATCATCAAACCACTTCGTTTTCAGCCACATAGAATGTATTATTTAACTTGAGCCTGTTTTTCAAATTGCATTCATGTGGGACATTAACATTTAACCATAATACATTTGTCTTCAGGCAGCTGTGATTGAAGTAAAGGAATAACTTCAGGCAAAAATGCTTAAAATTAGTTTATTACTTGATAAAATAGATTTATCATTAGTGGACTACAAGACATAAGAATGGATCAAGGAGAGAGACCTTAGAGAAGAGCAAGTCTATTTGAGTAACCTTTCTCTCTTTGAGTAAACTTTCTCTCTCTCTCTCTCTCTCTCTCTCTCTCTCTCTTCCTCTCTCTCCCTCTCTTTTTTTTCTTTTCTGGCAGCATGTGTGTGACCAAAGCTATGAAAACATGAAGTAGTAGGTCTTCCAACCACATCACACCATCACAATGGATCTGATTTTTAAATTCTTTAAACAACAAATAACAACAACAAAAAAACACCCTGAGCTCAGTCTGGTGGTATTGTATCCTAGGCCAGAGTACAGGTCATTTGATTTTACACCACAGTCAAACCTAGATAGCCACCATTTGCCAACAACCAGTTATTGGTCATAAGTAAATCATACCAAAAAAGTATGGCTAGAGCTCCCTTATGCATTATTTTCACAGGAATACAATTCAAATACCTGGTTGCACTAATGGGAATGCAGTAGTAGCAGTCTCATTTTCCAGACTATTTTTTAAAGTAGTAAATTGCTATGACAATGCAACCGGCATGATACTATAGTTAATAAAAAAACTAAATGAAAGTATCTATCCTAGGGGCTTTATTATCCAATGAAGGAATATATAATCTTATAAATTATAAGATTTATTGAAGAAGGGTTTGGTTGACCACACTGAGCCTCAGTCAAGTTTTCAGTCATTCCAAATTGCCTGGAGTTTCTGAAGGGGCATTGTTTGAGATGTTGAGGAAACTGTTTGTTTGGTATTAGAGGATCATTGGATCCTTTGATGCAAAGTGAGAGAACAACAACTTAAAGAAAATAATATTAAAATGATATTCACCATATCCTATGAACTGAAGTCCTCAACTGTTGTCTATTGCAGTCGGCTGACATGAAAAATCCACTTTTGCCCCAAGTTTATTCCCTCTTAGGACATGGACATCTAACAAGTTTATGGGGATAGAAGATTCTTAGCCTAAGGAAGAAAGGGAAATATATTCTGAGTGAAGTGGTTTAAAACTTTCTGATCTAAACTTGTCTTATAGTATGTCAGTTTGAGATTATTTTGTTAAAATTGTTTTCCTTATTCTGACTTCAGAATGGTTCTATTTATTATGTATTATAATAACAGCATCATTTGGACATTTCAATGGTACATAATAATGTAAATCCTGATAGCCAGTCTGTGAGATTGCCAGTTGATAATTTGATTTGTAGTGATTTACCCAAAGCCACACATAAAATGAGAAATACAATGGAATAAGAAGTCAAAAGTTGCCATCATTCAGGTTTCTATTTAACTATTTAGCACTGAAACACCTAGTAATTAATTTTCTTTAAAGATTGCTGCAGGCCCTGGCCAGTGTGGCTCAGTTGGTTGAACCTTTGTCTGTAATCTAAAGGTTGCAGGTTCAATTTCTGCCTAGATTGGGGGTTCAGTCCCAGGTCCAGATGCATAGGATTCCTGGTCCGGGTGCATATGGAAGGCAGCCAATTGATGCTTCTTTTTTGCATTGATATTTCTCTCACCTTCCCTCTCACCCTCCTTCTTTCTCAAAAAGCAATTAAAAATGTCCTCAAGTGAGAAAATAAATAAATAAATAAATAGCTTCAGGTCTTTAGCACTTAGAACAAAACACAAGATAAATATAATCTGTGTAGTAAACAGTCAGTATGAATAATTCAGCATTCTAAAAATATCTCAGACAATTGCCTGATCTCCCCTTCACTTTGGAATAAGTAAAACAGACCTTTATTTACATCACATTTTAACAGCAAACCAAGAAACTCAACATTACTTCTGGGTGCCCACCCATGTAATAATAAAAAATCCATTGAGGCTACCAGCAAGGCCTGAGAATTCACAAATACTTGTGTGCTCTAAGAGCACTACTACAACAGAAAACATTATTTAGAGGATTATAGGAAAACCAGCCTGAAGAATAAAGAATATGCAGTTATCTTAAGAAAAGGCATACAGCAGGGGGCGTGGAGGAAGGCAGACAACTGTACTTGAACAATAAAATTTTTAAAATGGAAAAAAAAGGCATATGGAAAAAACAATTTCAGCTGTCTAGTTTTTCTTGTCTAAGAGTTCTGACATAATTTCAAGTCTCTTTTAAACTATACCACACAGCCCTTTCCAGTGTATATAGTTGTTATGAAAAATTACAAATACAAACCATAACAGAATACTAAATTTACTTCAACTCAAACATTTACTAAGGGTTAAGGATGTTCTCACTTAAAGAACTTCCATTCTGGTAGGAAAGACTTATATAAGCATCTATTTATGATACCTTTTGATAAATTTGAGAATCAAGAAGTTTCAGTATGTTAGAAGCTCGCGCGCGCGCACACACACACACACACACAAGTATCTGACCCAGCCTGGCCCAAGGGGGAGGGAAGTAAAATTCGGCAAGAGGAAAGGCTACCAGGAAGTAGAAGCACAGGGCAATATGAAGAGTTAGGCGGTTAGTATTTAGGGGCAGAGGTCAGATAAATTTACTATTTGATTTATTTTTTGTTTTACTGATTCAAGTCGCATGCCACTAATGGAAACAAGATTACTGTTTATCATCTACATGCCTGTTTATTTTTAAAGCAATATATCTTCTGTGCATCTTAGTACTATGTGGGTCACTTTCACTTATTTGTTTCAAAAATGCAACCAAATTTAAGTGAATTAGGCCATTATATCTTCTCACAAATGTGCAAGAGTCAGTGGCCTTATTTGGTAACAACCAATAATCCTTACATCTCTCTTCCTCCATTCCAGGGTTATAATGCCTTTTGTAAAGACCTGCCTAATGGTTCTGCCTTCAGTGCAGACTATATGGAGGAGTGTGACAGATGCTGTCATTGCCCCATTGTGTACAAGTGTAGGACGCATCTTCTCGTCTGTCAGCTTGCAACTGAGCCATGACTGAACACTTGGCCCCCAGGTCTGGAGATTTGGATACTGTAATACTTCCTTGTTATAGCACAAAAGCACTGCTGTTCTGTTCATTCCCCAACTGTTCTAATTAAGAAAACTATTAAGATGGGCAAACCACATTTAGGAATGTTTATTGGCAAGTCTTTTCAAATAATGCTTTTCTAATTAATAACAAGGATTTCATATCTACCTTTATAACCAAAACTAAACAATAGATTGGCAACACTAATTTTAAAGACAGATACTTTTTGCTTTAGTACAAATGTATACATTTTATCATGATGAATTTATAATGATCAAGAGATATTTCCCTCAAATACTACAATGGTTTTGTCTACAACTGCACATAGAAATATGGGATTTTCTCACTCTTTTACTCTGGAAGTAATACTTTTAAATTACCTTTGCAGATAAAGTGATGCGGACACTTAGCAATAAGATACACAAAGATCCTAGAAACTGCAGTAATAAAAGCATACAATGGTGATGGAGCTATCAAATATAATAAAAAATGTGAAATAGATTCATGCAAATGTTTTCCTTTAAATGAGGGGTTGTTAGTCTACCGTCCTATTTAACATTTCCATTTTACTGTATATTTTGTACTTAATGTAAATGTTGCTTTAATCAGATTGCTTCAAAGGACTTTTATTATATTTGTGTTCTTATTGAGGTAATATATACAAAGAGTAAATATATCTCCCACAAGGAACTCATTGCTGAGATGCACTGTCTTGATCATGGAAACACATATATCTTCTTTGGGAACAGAATTTAAAAGAGTAAAATACTGGCTTTTTTGTCTAACTTTTCCAAGCAAAATCATGAAATGTTTTATAACTAATGTTTATCTGGCTGTGTTCTTAAAATAATTTGTATCTAATTCTTATTTTGTCTAGTAGATAATTTCTCTCTTATACTTAGAAATTAAACCTATATGCTGCAATTCCTAATTGGTGCTATTTAATAACATTTTACAATAAAGGCTATTTCTGACACTTAAATACAATTTTGACTACAGTGATTCATGTAGAGAGACTTCTAAGAAAATTGTCAACTTGTTGGGTCCATGCTACTGAACTATTATATATAAATTAAACACTAACAGCTATAAACTTTAAATATATTGTGTAATGTGGGTTTTGTTAAGCAGTATAGAATTATTCTGATCATTGTGAACTGTAAAATCCTACTTTAATGTTATGAGTTGCTGTCATTTTAAAAATCTCATTATTTTAAAATTATAGCATATACAAAGGATGTCTATAATGTAAGTGGTTGCTATAATTTACACATCTTAAAAGTACAAAAATGCTCAAATTTGAGAGTTACTTTAAGAACCTGAATTAACATGCTTTTGAATACCTTCGTAGATGGCAAGTATTCATTTGAAGATTGATTTTATTTTTCCAAATTGCCAGAACTGGTGAGATAAAGGATAATTAAGCTGGAATGCTATTGGGGACCAAAACAAATGAATGATTAAATTATGAGATTGGTATTTTTCTGAAAGTAGCCTCAAAAGAGACTTTTAAAACTACCTTAGGCCATTATAACAACCTTAGAAAAGACCCTCACAATCATTACCTTAAAGTATACCACTCATTTGACAGTATAGATTTTATTATGTTAGTCAATAATCAGGCCCATAACTTTATAATTATACCTTGTATTGAAAGTATTCTTTAAAAATATTTGGATATGTTAATTGGCCAAAGTATTTGATTAATAAAATATCTATTTAAATAAATCATGAGTTTCTATCATTTAAAAAAACATGGCAAGTTTTAAAGCAAAAATACATACCTGTAGTCATATAACAAATAACTTTTAACCAATGCTATATATGAGCTCCTTATTTCTAAATAGCACTGAGTACTTTAAAAATCAATTTTTATTAAGATTTGCCATTAACTATTTTAAAGACTGAAATGTTGTGCCAAGTGGATCCAGGTTTCACGTGAAAACGTGTTTGTTCGTTCTTTCAGTGGGGTGTGGGTAAGAGGTAGGTGATGAGGAGACTTTCCCAATATCTATAATACACTTTCTAAAAACCCATAGATGCATTAATTATTTTTCTTACATTAAATATAGAACTCATCAATAAAAAACATTTTCAAACTAATTTACCTTATTAAAAACACATAGCAGATTTAAAAATACATGAGTTATTGCTTATTCAGGAATATATTGGTGAAAAATGATGAGATTGGTGGTTTAATTCTTTGTTTTCCCAACACTTAAAGATGTTCCCTAGTAATTTTCTATCATTTAATAAATAGTATGGATTACTTGTTCACAAACCCTTCATATTTCATCTCTTCATGAAATAAAGTCTCTTGCTAATCCTGAATAAACTGATATTCTGTTTTCAATTTTTTAAATAAGAAAGTAAGACAATATAAATCACATATTCTTGGATACTGGTACCATGAGGTCAGACTAGACAATAAAATTACTTTTGGAAAGTGAGTATGTGAAAATAGTTGCTGATATTGGCTAGATTTTGTTGTCATTTTATCTGAAAAATTGACCAACCTCTAAAAATAGTGTAGGTGTCTAACTTTATTTTATTTTTTTAAGATTTTATTTATTCATTTTTTGAGAGAGAAAGGAAGAGAATGAAAAAGAGGGAGAGAAAGATCAATCCGTGTGAGATACATTGATCGGTTGCCTCTTGCACACCCCCAGCTGGGGACCTGACCTGCAACTCAGGCACATGCCCTGACTGGGAATCTAACTGTCAACCTTTTGGTTTGCTGGCCAGCACTCAGTCCACTGAGTCACATCTTAAAATGCTCTTCACCATTTCAAAGAACTTTAAAAATCCCTCTTTTCAATAATTATTCACATCCCATGAATTTAGGGATTTCTTCAGAAGTTGTTGAAATGTAATGGAAAGAGCCCTACCCTCAGGGTCAAGCATCTGGATTCCAGTCTCAGCACTCCCATTGCTGAGGTGTGTCACCTCCTGGGAGTGGTTCAGGCTCAGAGGTCTCAATTTTCTTATCTTTAATGAAAGGATTAAACTAAAATAAAATCTCTCAGGACCTCTGTAGCTCAACATTATATTCAGTAAGGTGAAGACTTGGCTATGTATATGCAAACCAATCTATTTGTTCAATCCAGAAATTTTTAAAAATCATAAATGTTCTATCAATTAGAGGACTGGTGTGCTATAACTACAATAATTAATGCATTTGCTTTTCACCCTTCAGTTGATTGTGAAACTGTATGTGGCTTTGATTCTTTATGACAGGGATTCCTAAATTTATAACAATTTTAAGTCTTTATTATTGTGACATTTCCCCCAAAGTAACATGTTACTCTATATTTTAAAACTAATTGAAATTTATTTTATTTGAAGATTTTTCTACCAAAATTATGGCTAGACTGCCATAATCATGGCTATCTTCATCTTTTACTTAGCTTGTTATTATAGTCTGCCAACTTGCCTCACTTCTAGTCAATAGGACATTGTCCAATCCATCTTGCCCTTCAAAACAAAAGTGGTCACATCAAGACTTCCATGTCATTCTCCCACTTAAAATGATCAATTTAAGTTGCACACAACTGGAGAAGTGATTGCTTTTATAATAAAATCCAAACTTGAGCAATGTGTACAAGGCCTTCACTACCAACTCACTGTCATCTTCAGCAATTCCCTTCCGTAGCCCCTACTCAAGTGCCCATGCTGTTCCTGTGTGCCCAGCATTCCCTGTCCTCATGCCAGTGTCACTCTTCTCCTCATGGCCTGTCTAACCCCTCCTGTCTCTAAAATTCCTGTCCATTAAGAATCTCTTCTGTGTCATATAAAATCTTGTACAAACCCCAATTATCACTTCCACACTATAAAACTGAACCCTGTTACCTAACCCCACTAGACTGCTAGTTAGATCTAAAGACATGACTTTCTCTGTTTCCTGTGGTTCTGAAATGATGTTCACCACTTAGTGATCTCAATATTTTCTGAAGGAGTGACTATGTGAATAAATGATTAAAGAAAACTTGAAATGATTTTAGAGCTCACATGAAAATTGTATTTTAACTTCATAAAATGTACCAGTTCTACCATATGATCTCACCTATAAGTGGAACCTAATCAGCCAACCAAACAAGCAAGCAAAATACGAGACAGTGAAATTAAGAATAAACTGATAGTAACCAGAGGGGAAAGGGGGAGGAGTTTTCAGGAACATGTATAAAGGACACATGGACAACACCAAAGGGGGATAGGATTGAGGGTGGGAAGTGGAAATGGCTGGGGTTGGGGGGAGTGGTGGGGGGAAAATGGAGACAATTGTACTTGAACAACAATAAAAAACAATAAAAAGTATTTAAAAAAGAAATATACTACTTGTAATAATTACTCCCAATTTTCTTATCTGAAATTTATTTCACATCTTCAGGGATAGGAAACACTAACACTTAGAAACTCATTTTGAAGCATACTTTCTGGCATTTCAGAATGTTTGTTTGTTTGTTTGTTTGTTTTTAACCATCACCTTTAAATTTAAAAAAGATACATTGTTTTTAATTTTTAGAGAGAGAGGAAGGGAGGGAGAGAAATGGAGAGAAAGAGAGGAAGGGAGGGATGGGAGAAAGAGAAGAAAGAAGAAAGAAAGGAGAGAGAGAGGAGAAAGGGAGGGAGGGAAGGAGGGAGGGAAAGAAAGAAAGAAAGAGAAGAAAAAGAAAGAAAGAAAGAAAGAAAGAGAGAAAGAAAGAAAGGAAGGAAGGAAGGGAGAGAAGAAAGAGAGAGAAAGAAGGAGAAAGGAAAGAAAGAAGAAAAGGAAATAAGGAAAGAACAGGAAGGAAGGAAGGGAAGGAGGGAGGGAAGGAAGGAAGGAAGGGAGAAAGGGAGAGAGAGAGAGAGAAAGGAAAGAAAGGAAGAAAAGAGAAGAAAAGAAGGAAAGAAAGAAGGAAGGAAGGAAGGAAGAGAGAGAGAGAGAGAAAGAAAGAAAAAGAAAGAAAGAAAGAAAAGAAAGAAAGAAAGAAAGAAAGAAAGAAAGAAAGAAAGAAAGGAGAAAGAAAGAAAGATAGATGTGAGAGAGACACACCCATCAGTTGCCTCCAGTACCGAACTGGAGGAAAGAGAATAATGTCTGCCACATAGGTTTGTGCCCTGACCGGGATGGGATGTAACCACAATCTTCTGGTATATAGGATGATGCTCCAACCAGCTGAGCTACTGGGCCATGACCAGAATGTTGCTATTTCTTTTACTATCCTATTTCCCATTTTGAAATTTATAATACTAAGACTAATGTTTTTACAGTATTTTACATTTTAGAAAACAGTTCCATGCATTATCTCATTTAAATCCAGGACAAATTAAATAGCATAGTGGAGAAGTCATATAAATAATAGCTGAATTTCTTTAGCTTGCAATTTTATCATTTTAGATTATTTATTTAAGATAGCAATAGCTTAAAGAATTTTTATAAGGTTACACATTACTTTAAAAAAACTTTTTTTAAAAAGTGGGTAGTGCTGCAATGAAAAATTACCATGGCTAATGAAACTTATCACAAATCTGGATTTGGTATTTTTTTTCTTTCAAGGTATCTATGCAGGGAGGACAAGGGAAAGAACTGAAGGAGGAGGGAGCACAAGCTAAGGATATATTAGATATTTAGGTTACACTTTTTAGGAATAAAAATAATTTAGGCTTCCATAATTTAACCATCCCAATTCCTCACCACCCCCATTTACTCCTAAATAGCCAAAAATGCAAAAGAAGGCACTTGTATTTTTTAAATTATTTGTACCCACTCCTCAGGTACTTTGGACTGTATCTGAAATGCCATTATGGGGACACTTATAACTTAATGCTTATTTAAGTGAAATTTTGGGGGAGATATCATTTCAGTCTATTAGCAGTCATCCATTACTTTAGTGTGATTGGATGACCTAAGAAGGGGATATTGAAAAACTACATAAGAGACCCAAGAATGAGGGCCTTAAGATAATGAGAACCATATAAGAGCATCAAAAAGTGATTAAA